CAAAAAAAGGAATAAAAAGGTCTTTATCTCAATTTTTATCAGTCAGTTTTTATCGCAGCGATATATTATAGTGATTCAATCAGAGCAATTGTACGTTACCTTGGGCAATAATCTATGCCAAATTTTTAAAATATATCGAGTCAAATAAAAAAGTTTTTCAAACAAGGGCTTGATTGGATGGGTTAGTTTGTATGGTAGCTATATCCTATACTGGTCCGATAAAAGCGGTTACAAGCAAATGAGCGTATCTTGGGGAGAGAGGCCGTGTGCAAAATTTCATATCGATATCTCCAAAATTTCGGGACTAGTTCGCATATATACAGACAGACGAACGTGGCTAAATAGGGTCTCCGACGTTTAGTTCTAGGTATTAAAACTTCGTGGCAAACTTGCCCTGTTCAGGGTATAGTTATAGGTTCATAAAACCAGCAGACTAGAACGATAGCACATGCATTATTGTGAAGAGTAGGGTGTACAAAAATTGGAACCATAATGTTTTAATTATTAGCAATAACTACAATACAATCAGAAATATAATTAAATAGCTGTAGACCTAGATGGGGAAACAGGAAAATATAGGGATATTGAATTAAAGTTTCGTTCGGGTATCATATAGAGTTTGGTCTTCAGAAATAAAGTATTAGAAACTACTAAGGGCTGTTTTCTCAATGTCTGGTTAGCAACCATCTGTCAGTTAAGTATTGGTTGAGACCAAGACTCCTTCTTTCGGCTGAGTTACCCAGACCTAACCAAACAGATATATCAGGTTCGAATTAACTATTAATGGGGAACGTTAACGACAACAATTCATCAAATTGAAGCGAACGACTAGACACGAGCCAATAGTATTCCGTCATAAATCAATTTAAAACTATTTTGTAAACTTCGGCTGAGCTTTATTGCACATACCCTGCCCGTTTTGACTACCATTTGTTCCGATCGATGCAGAACGTCCTCACTTGAAAACGGCTCACATCAAAACAGATTATCAAAATTTTTTTCGATTCATTCTTGGCCGCCTAGCCGGGCAGTTCTTTTGCGATGGAATCCACAAATTTGCAGAAAGATGAGAATATATTAAAGCTTCAGATAGATTATTCTTGTGTAATATTATTATACACGTTTTTTTTAAATAAATGTTCAAACGCTACAATATAGTTATAGACACCATATAATTTGTATATACGAGTAATAAGAAAAACAGTTACTAGACCACATGCACCTTTTACCAGTGTCCTGCTGGAGATTCGTAATTTTCTTCTCTTTCAAGGAGTTCTGCATCAGTCGAATATTTGTAATTTATTTATAACTTAATCATGGAATCTTAGGAGCATGTATACATATTTTCACTATGTAAATATCATTAAAAGTGTTAAGTTCACATACACATGCATTTGCATATTAAATGTCAACGAGACGTCATATAATTTATATTTATAATCTTCGGCTTGTATACTGATAAACGAAAGTTTTATTCCGATTTTCATGTCCTTTCCGACAGTGGCTTATCTACGATTTTAACACTTTGCCAATTGCTGAAATATAGATTCGTCCATTGGCAAAATGTTGAGGTGCTATATAAGTGAGTAAGTTTTTATTTCTCTCCAGTAAATGGGGTGTTTGTGTGGTTTTGAGTAGTAACATTCTAACGCAAACCAAGTTTTGTGCTTTAAGTGGTGCAATGAACGCAAAAGTCAACTATCATTTATCAAAATCTTTAATCGCGTAATTGCACTATTTGTCTTAATTACAACTTCCCCTTATTTGCATATATAATATATAATTTCCCATATATTTTTCGAGCTTTATTTTCGCTGGTAAACATTTAGAAAATTAATTGTAATATTCGGATTCTTGACAGGTATGAAGTCCGGCACATGGAAAAAATTTAATTTCAAATATGCCCCGTCGTCCGTTGCTTAAGATAGCTTATTATTTCTGTAATATTACAACAAGAAAAAACATTAACTTCGGCTGCACTGCAAGATCATTATTTTAATTTTGATCGACCTCGTTGACATTTAATATGCTATAGTCGTCCGATCCATACAATTTTTTGGAAAATATATATGGCATAGAGACAACTTATCAGACAAAATAGTTACTACAAGTATATAAGGACTTGACCGATCCAACGTCAGTTTATATGACAGCTATACGCTATAGTTGTCCGGTATCGGCGGTTCCGACAAATAAGCAGCTTCTTGATGAGAAAATGGCACAACATTTGAGATCAATATCTTAAAAACTGAGGGACTCAGCACGTTATGCTGATCATTTATGTATATATTTTAAAGAGTCTCCGAAGTTTCTTTTGCTTGTTAAAAACATCGTGGCAAACTTAATATACACTGTTCAGTGTATAATAAATCAGGGTTAAATGTTCCTTTATCTTTATTAAAAAAAAGTGAATGAAAATCATTATTTGCCTTAGTTATGCACTGACTTCTTGTGTGATGCTTACAAAGTTTCTTATTAAATAGAATATTTATGATAACGTCTAGCTCACTTGAAGAAGGTGCTCTATATATCATAATGGGCTATCAGAAGGTACAGATAAATTATGTCTTTTAGGTACTTAATTACGCTTTGTTAATCGTAATATACTTGCCTGCTTTATTAGGATATCTCACATATTGACCAATATTTAAAGTAAATTCCATATTTACCCTTGTTGTCACAAATGCTAGAAGAGGTTATGAGAATGCTATGTACCAAATTTCATTAAAATCCAAACAAATTATTTGTAGAGTTTTAAATTTCACTCACTCATTTGTTAATGTCTCTGAAAGTATCCATACTTAGCACATTTTTATACTCTCGCAACCTGTTGCTACAGAGTATAATAGTTTTGTTCACCTAACGGTTGTTTGTATCACCTAAAATTAATCGAGTTAGATATAGGGATATATATATATAAATGATCAGGATGAAGAGACGAGTTGAAATCCGGGTGACTGTCTGTCCGTCCGTCCGTCTGTCCGTCCGTCCGTGCAAGCTATAACTTGAGTAAAAATTGAGATATCTTTATGAAACTTGGTAGACATGTTTCATGGTACCGTGAGACGGTTGGTATTGCAGATGGGCGTAATCGGACCACTGCCACGCCCACAAAACGCCATTAATCAAAAACAAATAACTTGCCGTAACTAAGCTCCGCAATAAGATACAAGACTGTTATTTGGTACACAGGATCACATTATGGAGGGGCATCTGCAGTGAAAATTTTTTTTTAAAAAGTGGGCGTGGTCCCGCCTCTAATAGGTTTAATGTGCATATCTCCTAAACCGCTAATGCTATAATAACAAAATTCACTGGAAGCAAATGTTTTTAGCACTTCTATTGACGGTGTGAAAATAGTTGAAATCGGGTGGCAACTCCGCCCACTCCCCATATAACGGTACTGTTAAAAACTACTAAAAGCGCGATAAATCAAGCACTAAACACGCCAGAGACATTAAATTTTATCTCTGAGATGGTATAAGATGACTTTATAGGAACCGCGTTCAAAATTAGACAGTGGGCGTGGCACAGCCCACTTTTAGGTGAAAACCCATATCTTGAGATCTGCTTAACCGATTTCAACCAAATTCGGTGCGTAACGTTCTTTTCATGTTTCTATGTCATAGTGCGAAAATGGGCGAAATCGGATTACAACCACGCCTATTTTCCATATGACACCATTTTAAATACCACTTGATTCTTTCACTTTCCACTATGCAAATCAAGCAACAATGATTATATCGGCGTAAAACTTTGCGTGAATAATGCAATTAAAGTATGCCACCTTGCGGCCAAAAATTGTCTAAATCGAACCAAAACTGTTCAACCCCTAAGTACTAAATATGTGGACCCCAGTGCCTATAGTTGACCTTCTACCGAAAATATCAGTCAATCCACAAAGAAAGAGTATACCATTTGACTTTGCGAGAGTATAAAATGTTATGCGCATTAAAAAAGTTGGAGCATAGCTGATTTAAGTGTATTAAGTCAACCAAATCAAGTAATAAACACGCCCATTGCCAAATAACGGCTTAGTTCCAAATAACTAAAACTGGCAGTGGGCTTGGTATAGTCCCTTTTAGATGAAATTTAAAATCTCACATTCTCCTTTTTTGTCATTACTACAGGGATGTACTCTTGTACCAGTCATCAACAACTCTAAAACCAAAATAATCGAAATCAGCCTAGGCCTTCCGTTAGCCCCATATACCGAATATGTGGAAATAAAATTTAGAGAACATATTTCTTAAGCCCGATATAGACAACGCAAAGATACATGACTTACATCGTACATATCAATTAGAGTGCGAGATATTGCAATAAAAAAGCGATAATTGAATTATAGCGTTTAAGATCTTAGGTTGGGTTAGGTTAAAAGGTCAATCATAACAGGGATCTCTTTTTGAGTTCCTGGTCGCACCTACAACTGCAATAAAATTGATCCTAAAAACCCTCATAAATCGACAAAGCGCTTTGAGCCGATTACAAATTTGTTGAGGCGGCTAATGCCAATTTCGGCTATGTCTCCTGGTTCGCCAAAGTTGTGAGTGCCTGGATGTTTCCACTTCATCTTCTTCCATACAACTTTGATTGGAGTTTTAACTTTATAACATGAATGCCTATTGGACAATGTCCAGTAAGAATTCCTAAGATAGTGGAAAGATGAACTTTTCTAAGGGCAAGTAGCTCAGTAGATCTCTTACGTGATACTCTAGGCTAGAAGGATTTCGTAATAGCGCAGAAGCTGGTCGTCAATCAACGCCTGCTAAGTGCACGCGAGGTCAATAGGTCCAGTGCTACGATCAATAACTTACTTCCAACACTATTATTATGAACTGATTCAGTAAATCTTATAAATTGTTAAAAGCTTTTTTGAAATTTGGATTATAGCCACGCCTATCTACATTATTGCGCTATTAGGGTGGGATGCTAGAATTGTTATAACTCTGTAATATGACATTAATACAATACCAAACGCGAAATTTTATAAGAGGAGCTTAAAAGAAATTGATAATGCTTTATTGAGATTTTAAGCTTAGTTATCATGGTTTAGTCACGTTTCAATTTTGCTTGGTTTATAAATTTTATTTTAAAGTTGCTTCTAGTTATTAGAGTTAGATCTTTTTGTATTAATATGATAATATGGTTGCAGAATTATGCTTCAATAATATTTCCACAACAATTCATAAACATTTTTTACATACTTAATTGTATAATTAATGCAACAAATCTATTCGGCTTACAGAGTTTATATAATAGCATTTGTATAACGGTTAATTCCATTCCACCTACTTACTTAAGCTCAATGCAAACTGTTGTTGCCTGGAGATGACAGTGGACGTATGCTGCTAACACATTCTGCAAGTTTGCTATCCTGATGGAATTGTATAAGCACTAACTCATATGTCACTATAGTTCCAGCAACCTAATAACATTGAAAACACAATAACAGAAGAAGTAGAAGACAAGAAAACCAGAAAACCGGGAAAGCAGACTATAAATGATTAAGCTCGAAAATGGTAAATTGATACTCGTGTATATCGAAAGGGAGGTCAAATTGAAGAAAGACAGCAAAAAGCGTGTAAACTTAAATCAGAAAACAGATTGCACAAAAAAGAAGTAAAGTTCATCACACAACAAAGAAAAATTGTGGAAAGACTAATAATCCTCACGTCGTGCAGTACGGGCCACGTAAGTCATGGGCAGGAACAAAGCGTGAGTGAAAGTAAGTAGTAATGAATAGGCAATCGAAGAAATGCCAGTGCACGTGGCTGCCCAGGAACAAACGACCGGATAGCAAGGCTGTACGGTACTTACGCTCAGCACCAATTTCCGTGTGAGATAAAAGAATTTCATGCCACTTAATGCAACCAAATCGGTGCTAATATCCTCCGAGAAACGTTTCACCTCAGTGCACCAGGACTCTTTCGGCACGCAGCGTAGCACTCGCAACGGCTTCCGTGACTCATCATTGATGCTAGCCGAGTACAGTGATACGGCCAAGGTACGGCCGATAAGAAAGAAGAACGAGAAGTAAAAGTACGCGGCATGAGCAAGCGATGGCATTTGGCTACAATGAGAGAAAAACAGACGAGACGAAAATTGCCGGCTATTATTCACCAGGCGAACTAAATTATATACCATTATCGATGCGTAAACTCACTTAAGACTACGCAGCAGTTGCACACAAATGAAATACAAATTATTTGAGAAGGATACCATCGTGATGAGCGAAATGGCGCCGTCAATGCGTGTACAAAGCTCACACAAGTTCCGGTATTGTTTGCGGCGCGTCGCCCAGTAGAGCTCAGGCATACGCTGTTTCGTCGGTCAGAATGCAATAGAAAGCAATTAAAAGTGTAAGGTGATATTTGAAAGTATGGTATGTACGTAATATAAGCTCACCATGCCCTTGAACTTGAATAAATTATCGTTGAGCTGCTTAAATTTCGCTGCCAATCCTATGCTAACAATCATCACAAAAACATCCATGTAATTCCAGATGAAGGTGCAGAGTATGTTTTGCACTTTGCCCCAAATAGCTAGTGATACGGAGTAGGGGAAAATTAAAAATATGTGCTGATTGGTCAGAATAAAAAAGTTTTTGATCGGGTCCTCGGTCTGGGGACAATAGTTAGTATAGTGTATGTTGGATAAGATATTCAGCAAGTGTTCGCCTGAAAATAAAAAGATACATATAAAGAAAATTACATAGGAGCACATTTGAATGAAGCCATTTCGACAAAATAGCCCAATTTAACTAGAAACTTAGAAATCTTTAAAATATTGGCTCACAACCTTCTACCTTCCTAGGTGGATTGGTATCGCGAATGAGCGGTTGCCCAATAGAAAAAAACGATTTGTGAGATAACCTAATAAAATAAATTAAAAACGTAATTTGTGTTGTAGTCAAAAACGGATGAAATCTGTCTATGATTTTCCTATGATGACTAACAGAATATAAAGCTATTTAAAAATTTAACAGTGAGTTCAAATGCGAAGCGCGTGCAGAGGTAATACTTTTCTGCAAACCCTATTTTGAGGTAGCTTAAAGCATAGTGACTATAACTTCGTCTGTTACCGCTGTGTAACGAGGTTGTTAATATAACCGAAGTTGGTAAGACAGCCACAAGGCAACTTCTTTTAAGATCCCATCTCAAGAAACTAGATAAAGTGATGTCAGTATGCAGAACATACCCCGTGGATAACAATTCCTTACAATATTATAGATTGAGTTGAAAATAGTTCCATCGATTCCAATTTCTCAAAGAGGAAAAATTTCAAAAATACTTTAAATCAACCAGCTTGGTAAATGACGGTTACTTAGGTTAATGGAGCACAAGAAGCCCAATAACTGCTTGAGTGCGAGTATAATTGTTTTGTTAACCTAACTGTTCTTTGTAACATTTACAACTAATGAAGAAAGGTCTAGACTCTAGAGTTATTTTCTGTCGAAAATATGTAACATGGGCCATATGGTTTCTGGAAACTGTGTTAATTGTTCCCATATATAATGATTCCTGTTATTCTTGGAGACTTTATACCTAATATGTCGGTCAGCGAATGTCATAGCTGTCATACAAACTGACCGATCATAATGAAGATAGAGATATTATTAAGGTAGACTGGTAACTTAGTTTGGAAAAATCGACCTTTTTTCAAAAGTACTATATATTCAGAATACAGTGTAAACATTTGAGAACGAAAATCGAATAGCTGACGAAGTTATACCACCTATACGTGAGTGTCTCATAGTATTTCGAAAGCGGAGAAGGACACAGCTTATCTTTCTAAAATTTCCAGAATGAGTCGCAGGTCAGAAAAAGTGACTAACAATGAGGTTTATAAAGAAGTTGAAGGTTTATTATATGCACCAGTGATAGACGACTCGTATGTAGTATGATTTAAATATATGATGAAATATAAATCTATTAAACATTCCATATTTAGTCTGTTGTTGAAAATTTAAACGCGTTTTTCTCGAAACAACGTTCTTACGGTTAATAAACAATTTTCTATCCAACCGATTGGGATGATTTGAATATGTTATTCTACTCAACAATAGCTCACGCAGGAACTTGGATCATTTTTTATCGCTAACTTTCCATTTTACAGCCCGATTTCTACTAAAAAAATTTATATTGTTTAAAAAATCCATCCAACTAGAATGACAAGCTCATACAACAATAATCTTTTTGATTTTTCTATTTCAGGTGTCCGCAAGCGACCAAATCACCGGGGCCACCTCCTTTTTTTTTGTTTTGAGATGCTCACTTCAGTGCTACGAAACAACAAATTTCAAAACCAAAAACATAAAAATATTTTTTTGTCCATTCTGAGATACTAGTAATAATATATATCATAATTAATATCATTGAATTTTATTTTTTTCAAATAAAATATTTCCAAAAAGGTATTAAAAAAATGTATGTCACCAGACTACTACCTTAAATAACCTTAATTCGACTTGAAGGTTGTTAATATCAACGGGGCTAAAAAGAACTAACTTTTTCCATTGGATGCGAACCGTTGACCGCTTACGTTTTGTGATCAAGTTAGACATATAGTTGCTATAAGAAATGCTCCTGTAAAGGATATTATAGCTTCGGTTCACCCGAAGTTAAAGTTGTTTCTTGTTTAACATAAAGTTTTGAAAAGTAATTCCGGGCTTTTTAGCCTTGAAAGCTGCGAAAGCATAAAATGTTAGGTAACTTAGTTTTTCCTTACTTGTTTTCTGTAACATCACTGAACCTCAAATAGAATTTATTGTTCAGTTCTTCACGAACTGAGACATACTTACTTGTCAGACTACTGATTGTAAGATGTGCACAGGTACATACATACTATGTCAGTATGTATGGTATCTCAAAGAAGTTCCAAATTCTTACAATTTCTTTAAACACTCAACACACATGAGCTCATTTCTTGTACTCTGTGTCCATGTCATATTAAATGATCATCCAACTTACCGAGTGACAACAGCATGGCCACAACTGTCACCATTTTAATCCTGTACGCCAGACGTCCTTTCTCCATTTGCGTTAAATACTCCGGCAAGTCGCACTCGATTTCGTACCAATCCAGCATCAATGCCGGCCATTTGCGCGCCAGTACGATGGCATTGATGCAAACCACAATAATGGACAGACGAAATATCAGCGGCTCTGCACAATTTCCAAATATAGGTATGTGAGTTAGCGAGCAAGCGACGATGTAGGCGAGCCAGGTCATACAATGAGCGTCGAACGAAGGACAATGAACGATTGAGGAATGATGCAGACATGACAGAGATAAATGTTTATATAATAAAGTTACCATGCAATTTCATTAAAGCAAAGTTGTATTTGTATTTTTCCTGTGTGACTTAAACAAAAAAACAAAAGAATGAAGAAAAACATTGAAATAATAGCCGTCTAAATGTCAAACGCAAAACTAAATTTATGTGCATACGACCACTTCACTGCCTCGGTCCTACACTCAGTGCGCTATGTGCAATTCTCTGCATTTATGCAGAGAAATTCGTGCGACTTACCAACACTGTTGAAGTTGATTGGTTTGTGAAGCATTTTGTTCATTGCAAATCCCAAATCAATTATTGTCGTTGTTATAAACAACAAACAGTATAAGGTCCGGATATTTGTCCATGAGAACGACAACTGCCGTGGGTGGGCCGCAATGACTCCCTTGACGGGCATTATAGCGAAGAACTCGGCGAAGAGCAGCACTTGTTGATCATCGGCGGGTGAATGAAAATGTCACAAAGAAAAATGTTGATTAGTGAAGGACAATGTGCAATTACTTATCAATATTGTTGTTGTTATGTTGGTGGTAAATGTGAAGAATCGATATGTGAAACTATGAACCACAGGCTTAATTATGTGTTACTTAAGAGTTTCTATGCACTACGACATATATGATATTGACTTCCACTTACACAAGGTTATCGGTGCTAAGGCAAAGAAATTGCATGAAGCAGTGGAAAAAAATAGTTCGATGCAAAGAATTTAATATAGAATGGGCGCTTACGGAATGTATATATTATAGCAAGTTATATTACTCCGTTTAATTCAAAGCTACTAAAGAAGTTACTTTATAAAACAATCTTTAGACAAGACTCTAGCAAAATAGGACAAATAGTTAACAAATTAAGAGAGGTTAGCTGGGAATAGGAAATGGCATTGGCCTTCTTCGTCAACTTTAGTCAAATATTTTGCTCTCAAAGTGGGTGACACGTATGTTTCCGTATTTGTATAATTTTTGTGTCATATTTTATCATAAACATTAGATTGCAAAATTTAGGTATATCTTTCAGTATTTCAGCAGTTCTATATCATAGGAGAAATATTAGTTAAAGTTCGGTGACGTGATTTCGGGGATACAGCTAATTGGACACCACTTGTACAAATATATTGCGCCAAAAAATCATCTTGTTCTTAATAGTTTGCAAAAGTTTCTGTAAGCGATAATTGTTTTCGGTTATTATTATTGTTTCTTACCAAGTTTGTTCATCGGAATGGTCATATATAATATTATAAGTAGTGCCATAAGTTATGCAGTTGCCATACGAAAAGCAACACAGTTAAATTGCTCCAAAAACATGGTATTTGATGCACTAAACCATTTTCAAAACTACCATACAACCACCTCCCAATTAAGCGTGTGCAAACGCTATCCGTATAAGAGTGCTGATGACATCTAAGGGATATCTTTGATCAAGTTGATTCAGGCATATTGAAATGGTCTGTCGCTCGTCATTTGGTTGAGGCTAGTCTCCTTCGTCGCATTTCCCGGAAGAAACTACTTGTATTGGTGAATTCAAGTTAAAGAATGCGCTGCTCAGAATTCACTAGACGACGTGTTGATTGGGAGCTCAATAAGTAGAAATATGTGGTCTAGAGAAGAGAAACAAAGACTAACCGACTTGGTCTAGATAGTAGAAATATGTAAGAGTTTACATTTGCACTGTCATCAAGCATGGCGACGGAAAAATTTTTGTGTAGAGATGCTTTATTTAATTGGTTTTGGTAACATCATACATTTACCTGTTATTTCGTAGTATCAGATGTAAAAAAAACAGGATTGAATCGTTTGGTGGGGTCTTTTAAGCATTTTCTGAGAATATTTTTAATAACATCAGAAAGTAGAGATTTCAAGAACTTGGGTTTTGTCTCAATTTTAAGTCAAAATAAGGTTTCCTCCTTAATATTTTAAATTAAAACAAGTAAGGAAGGGCTAAGTTCGGGTGTACTTGAACATTTTATACTCTCGCAACATGAAAAGATCAAAGCCGGCGAAAGTTTTTTTTTCGAATTTCAATAATATATTTGACAGGTTAACTGATATTTTTGGTAAGAAGTTAGCAATAGGAACTGGCATCCACATATTCGGTATCTGACGGCATGAACAGTTTCGGTTCGATTTGAACAATTTCTTGCACATTTCAAAGGCATCATTAGTGCAAAGTTTTATCCGAATATATTCATAAGTGGTTGATATGAGTATTGGAAAGGAAAGAAATCAGATGGAATTTAAAATTGTATTATATGGAAAGTAGGCATGGTTTTGGTCTGATTTCGAATATTTTTGCACCGTAATGCAATAATCTCAGGATAATATTATGAGCTTAATTGAAATCGGTTGAGTAGGTCCCGGACCGTAAAACCGTTACATGGAGAGTGGCCATGATTTTAATCCGAATTCATCCATTTTCACAGAGTAAGTAGGGATGCTGAAAGTATTTGCCCTGAACGAATTTTTTTTTTAGAGTTGCCGCTACTTAGTGCAATACGTTGTACTAAATAACAGCCTTGTATCTTATGGTAGAGCTTAGTTACTATATAGGTTTTCGACTAATGGCATTTTTTAGGCGTAGCAATTGTCCGATTCCACCCATCTACAATACCAACCCTCCTTGGTTGCCAAGTTTCATCAAGATACCTCAATTTTTAATTAAGTTATTGTTTGAACGGACGGACAGACAGAATTCAACTCGTCTCGTCATTCTGATCATTTATATATACATATATACATACATAACTCCATACCTATCTCAATTAGTTTTAGGAATACTATCAACCGTTAGTATAAGAAAAAAATGTTTATACTAATTACAAAATTACTTTGTAGCAACATGTTGCAAGAGTATAAAAATTACAGTGTGTTTGGAATATAAGAAGGTAAGTTTACACCAAATTTCGTGAAAGAAATTTTATTTTTGTACAAGATAAAAATACAAAACCCAAAAACTTAGGTATTTGAATTTTTCGCGTAAATTTTGAGGTTATGTGAACAAGGAGTTAAAACAAAAGTTCGTAGATCTTTTCATTACCTACAACTTTGCCAAATTACTAGAACTCGTAGTTTTGCCGGAAATCGAGATAACCCGTTTTTAACCCTTAAATATAGATCCACGTCCCCCCTTTCTGTTCCCGACCTCAGATCGATCGTAAAATATTTTTCCTTTATTTTTTATTATTTTATCTTTCATTTTCAGCGGGTTTCAACCTACTGTGGATTTTTTTTTTAACTTTTTACTATTTTCAAAGACTTCTTTATTTATTCATTTTTGATATTACGACATATCATTACCATAAAAAGATACTCCCTGACTTTCAATAAGATAGAGTCAACCGAATGTTTGATAATATAAATATCAGGGCTGCTTCGTTTTATTGGACTTGCACTGCACCACGAACTAAACCGCCTTTGTTTTAAAATGGGATAACCGAACCGGAAACGACTCAAAAAAATGGTCGGTTCCATTCGAAATTAAAATCCGCAATAAGCATTTTTAAGTTAAATAATACACGACGTGCTTGAAAATTTAACCCTTATGCTACCACAAATATCTGGAATGCAACGCCATGAGATGTCAATTTTCACTGTAACTTGAAATAATCGCTTATGTAATCGCAGAGGGTTGGCATACTTTTAAAGTGATTATTTTGTAAATATTTTTGAAATGAGTGTGAAAGCTTTATTTTCGCAAAAATTACTATACAAGTGAGCGCATACTTTGCACCGACGTTCCAGGGAAGATAGTTGGCGAATTTTTGAAGAAGAAATTCCAGAAGCACTCTTCATTGACAGTCTACATTTTGTCATGCTACATGTGTATATGTATATTAGAATAACTATTGGTGTTTGAGATTTGAATATTGTTTAGGGTATAATCCTCCCTTTTAAATGTACATAAGCTACGCCTATCAGATAAATATCGCCTGATTGTAACGTTATTTAGTGTATCTATTGTTATTCGCATTCAGCTATATACATACATATAGGCATTTTAATGTATGTACATATGTACAGGTTGGGTCAAAAGTTGGTTGGTTTCACCAATAAATAGCACTACTAGCGCCATATTTTTTTTCTCTCTCTTTTTGGTACATCTGTCGCATGCAAAGTTACAAGTCATTCTCTTTGTTTGAAAGGTTTAAAAGTAAACGAAATGAACAATTGTTAGAAGTATATAAGTCCTCACCTTCAAAATGCACCGCTGAATTTTGGGCTGGTGAATTTAAGCGTGGTCGTACTAGGCTTGAAGACAATCCACACGCTAACAATTCAAGAACAACTGGATCGAAAACAAATTTCTCAGCATAGTTTGGACCGTTTTAAACAGAATAGAACCGATTTCTTGTGTCGTTTTATAACTACGGATGAGGCTTGGATATGCCTCAAAGAAACAAGAACTTTTACAGTGGACTAAGGCTGGTTGTTCAACTCCAAAGCAGGTGTAGTCACAAGGATCAGCAAAGAAGGTTATGACATTAGTTTTTTGAGATTCAAAAATAATTTTGTTAACTGATTATCTGCAGAAAGATAAAATAATCAACTCTGAATATTATTGCGAATTGCTTGAGCATCCAATGTATTCACCAGATTTGGCTCCCTGCGACTACTACCTCTTCAGAAACCTAAAACAATTCCTTCGTGGAAAGCGTGTTTTGTCGAATGAAGAAGCTATTACAGCCGTAGTCGGGTATTTTGCATAGCTTCCGGAAAGTCATTATAGGGATGGCATAAAATTATTGGACGATCAATGGAATAAGTGTATTGAATAAGTGTTAAGAAAGATTATATTGAATGAAAAAATAATGTTTTTGGTACGAATAAGTGTTAAGAAAGATTATATTGAATAAAAAACTATATTTCGTACCAAAAACATTATATTTTCATTTCTGGCGCAGAAATTTTTCAACCAACCTATATGCCAAAGACGCCGACTACCTACTGCGCGTGTGCACTCCACTAGCTTATGCTACATTCCTTGAACATAATAAGTTTACATATATATGTACATACACATGTTAAGTACAAGCGCATCTATTTGCACATTTGTAAACTGCATAGTCTATAGGAGTAAAGTGATTATTACTGTTCTTGTATATGTGCCTATTTGGCATATAATTGTCTGCTTTCACGGATTTTGGGTCAGTGCTAAAAATAAAGTCGTGAAGACAGTTGAGAAACCAACAAACGGATTTTCTTTTAATTTAATCTTATTCAAATGGTATCTTCCATGCTAGGTGTGGTAAATTTATTCAACGCTGAAAAGTTTGAATAAATATTTTACAGGAGGTTGATCTCAATTACGATTGAGTGGTTCGAACCACTGAAACGAAACGCATCGCTTTTTGTAGTGGTTTACAGCCCAGATAAACATATCTACAATGTTAGGTGTTCTTGCGGCTAAGCATAGAAGTGAAGCCGACTTGATCAGTCCTAAATCAACAATGAAGTCGTCTACACAATTATGATTGAAAAGATATAGCGCTTTCAGGTTAAAGTCAAGGTCCCTCCTAATGTAGTTCTCAAAACCAATTGACTTCTCCACCCTGAACTATCTAGTATTCATGCGATTTCTTAGTACTAGGAGTTCAATCATTGACGGAACTCTTATCACCTGGGCCAAAATTTTTACCCTTATTGGTGTTGCCACATCAAATTTTAGAAAGTGAGGTATAAAACAATTGGTCTAGAAACTCCTACACCAAACAAATGCGGCAAAGCAGAGAGCTTTAATTTAAAGTTGTAGAATCTATTGTAGGTAAAGTGTTACATATATGATATTTTATTGACTCACCCTTACCGACAGCCTGATGGAAGCTGCCATCATGTAGAAAATCCTCCTTCACCGACTTAGCCAAAACTTCTGACATAATTTCGTAAATTTACAATCGCAATGGTGTTAATTAGTCACTTACTTGGTTGTTTGTCTATTTGTAGATGCAGCAGCTCCCTTTGAGCAACAAACTCCGTGCAGGTAAGTTTAATTAGGGTAGTTTTGTGGTTCGGTTTATGCGGTCCACATGTCGCGGCAACATTAGAGCCATTTTGGCTGCAAATTACGCTTAATTTATTATTAAAGTTTGACATACAGATAGACTACATATGTATAAAATATGGAGGCACATAAATTGCTTCATTAATAATACAGTATTTTTGAAATTTGCTGTTAAAAGACACCAATCCGATTCACTCTATATACGTATATGTAGGTTTATGGATCCTTTTAACTCACTCGAACTATATTTCAAAGGATCACCGTTTAAAACATCACTTACACGCTTCATGTACCACTCACCTAAACCGACGTATGCCGCGTTCGCATTGTCGCCGCCACAATCGTCTATTCTTTCGTGCATCTTGTTGTTGTTGTACACGTAAGCGTGCATCCGCGGTAACGTTACCAATTTTCCAACCGATTTTAATTGCGAACTTCATAACATTACTTCACAAATAAGTTATTTTGGTGGAAATCGAAGTATAGTGTAGTTGTAAAATGCGGCTCGTTGTAGCATGAATGGCGTGGCACAATCAACTGGCAGTGCTCCAAACCCAGTGCCCTGATTAGCAATATTTACTTGCAAGCCTGTACCTTCGAATATCACACGCGATCTATGCATGTATAATGTGTGTTGATTTGCTTTTGATTGTGACACCTGGCGCATTTCCCACAATCTGCATGCGAAGTAAATTTATCAGTGTCCAAACAATGAAATGTTGACTGAGCAATTTTCCAATGTTACCGAAATAATCGCAAGTAAGGAAGAAATAACTCAGGTCTAACCGAATATTTTATACTCTCGGATAATATTATAATTTTACTTGGTATCTTATCAATTATTTCATAGGTCTCGAACTCACCTCGTTTCATTACTATAACCCAAATGAGATATACAGTACAGGTTAAGAAAACATATAAAGTTCAAATCTTTGAAATATCACATATATTGACCAATATTAACGGTTTAAAGTCAGCTGGAAATGAAAAATTATATCGGACTGCATAACGTTTTAACATTACTTAAGTATACTGGGAAACATGTACATTTATGAAGATAACTCACTAACTCGCCGACATATTCGGCTTAAAGTCTACTAAATGGAATAACGAAAATCAATATATAAAATATATGGCAGCTGGGGTAATTTGCTGACCGATTTGACCCCTTTTTGTCACAAGAATTCACAGATATTTGCGGTATAAAGTCAGACATAGTCACTGAGACTTTGAAGACACAATTTGTGAAAGATTTTATTTCAATGTATATGGAAATTAGTCACATATTACGGGAATACAAAAATAATAAGCCCTTAAAGACGCAGTTTTAATAGTTTCAAAATTAGAATTTTATTCCGATTATAATCAGGGCTGTGAATATTTTAATTAAAGAATTTCCGGTATTTGGGTAAAAATTTAAAAACTATTTTTAATTAGGAATTTCGGGATTACAAAATAAAAATCAATTTAACTTAATTTTTTAATGCATTATGTGCAACCCTGATAATAATTAAATTGAATTTTTTTAAGTGGCTTATGGGATATGTATATTTCATCAAAAATGGTGGTGCGACCTTTTTCTATAAGTTATTGCTCACGATTTCTACCATATTAGGTTGCACCTATTTTTGGTTTAAAAGAGTGCTATTTGGACACAAGATATCTTTGATAACTTTGTTACCTGTTATAAGTTCATAAGGTTAAACAAAGGAAGTATATCTGTAATGTAGGTGTGGCCGTGCGATGTTGTCCATTTCCAAAGTGTATCTAGAAATATAGTAATTTGAGATACATGCACACAATTTGGTTACATCGGAAAGGTCTTCTGTTAATAACGAGCTAGTAGTTTATGAACGTAATGCCACATATAAATATACATATATCTCGTTTAGTTTTAGGTTATACAAACAACTGTTATACAAACAACTGTTATAGAAAACTTTTTAATTGAAAAAAAAGCTTCACGAAATTTGACATACTCGTATGCAGATTATTATCCACGGTAAAGCTATAATCTCCGGACAAATATGGCATATAAATGTCATTTAAGCTGACCGAATGGCGGTGTATACATATATCTCGTTTAGTTTTAGGTTACACAAACAATTGTTAGGTGTATATAAATATATATATATATATATAAACATTTGAATAATCAGGATGGGCGTGATCGGACCACTGCCACACCCACAAAACGCCCATATTCGAAACCTTATAAATTGCCATAACTAAGCGAATTAAGATATAAAACTGTAATATACAAGTAGTACACGTAATCGCAATAATGAGAGGCAACTGCGGTTTGAAAATTTTTAAAAAGGTTTAATGTATATAACTCCCAAAGCATTCAAGCTATATCACTTAAATTTGAGCAGGAAAAATTATTTGACACCTCTGGCGTGTAAAAAGGTGAAATTGGATGATAACCACGCCCACTCCTCATATAAGGGTTTTGTTACAAACTACTAAACGGCTATAACTTAATAACTAAATGCGTCAAAGACATTAAATTTTGCATCCAGGATGGCACAAAATGGGTTTATATGAGCCGGTGTCCAAATAAGACGATGTGAGTGGCACCGCCTACATTTAGGTGAAAACCCATATCTCTGGACATACAAGACCGATATCGACCAAATTTAGTGTATAACATAACCTTGACGTACTCTTGTTATAGTAGGAAAATTGGGGGAAATCGGACTACAACCACGCGTACTTCCCATGTAGAGCAAATTTACATTTCATATGATTTTTTCACTTTCCAGTATACAAATCGAGCACCAATTAATACAAGTATAGTGATGAAAATTTTCACGATTATTTCCGTTAAAGTAAAGCCTTGTCAGGTCTAAAGATTTTCAAAATAGGAACATAACTATTCAAACCCCTTTAGTTACTTTTGTACCTTTGTTCTCACCGTTTCCACTTTTTCGTTCCACTAAACACTCACGTATTTGTAAAAACTGAAATTTATTTATAAATATGTTGATATCTTATCAACCAACCAAAAAAGAACTTATAACGTCACTTGAGTAATAAAAGGTTATAATCGGGATGTGTGACCGTGGAAAAAAGGCGAAACTTCAATTGCGACTTCCCTGTTGACGCTTTCGATGGAAAAGAGGCTCGGCGCTATCGCCCTCCCTGGTTTTGTTCATGTTGGTGTGTAGAGTTATTCTGCTGTGTGTGGGTGTATGCTGCTGCTTCCAGCAAGGTTGCATAGGTGCGTGGGGTGTGGGTGTGCTGATGTTTCCAGATGTGGTGTGCCAGTGTTGTGCTGTAAGTGGTGTGTTACGCTGTCGTGTGAGTGGTGTGTTGTGTTGTCGCATGAGTGGTGTGTTGTGTTGTCGTATGAGTGGTGTGTTGTGCGGTGTTGTTGACTGCATTAGGGCGGGAAGCTGAACTCATTTAGCCACCCTTCATACCGGAAATGTGGACCCTAGAGCCTATGGCTGTCTTTATTACTGAAAATGTCAGTAAATTTGTGAGATATATTATCGAAATTAGGAGAGAAGCCTTTTTTCATAATAGAATGTCTATATGTCAAAAGTTAGTTGAATCGGGTTAATATTTCCCTTATCTCCCATATAACTAATATCAGGACTTTCAAACACCCGGTAGATTTTACTTCGTTTATATTATTTATGGTTTGTGAGGTTCCTTAATGAAAATAATAATATGTAGTAATGCCAAAAATAGATAAAATCGTAAAATAAATATACCTAATAAAAGATTTTTAAACTTCCGGTTGGCCTTATACTATATATATATAGGTCAATATGTAAAGTATCTTAGCAAAATTAATTGAACATATAATATTAGATATACTTTGTTTTAATGTCGAAAATATCTGAAATTATATTATACAACATATAATAATTTCCGTTATTCTAACAAACATAATTATATTAATGGTTAAGCGCTGAACAAGATTGAAGTTGGTCGATATCTTGGTCTTAATCTTATATCCTTAAAATCACCAATTATGATTATCAGGTCGACGTTTCACACATCAATTCAATTTATAAAATATAGCTTCTTAGGTTAAGTTTATGAACGTATGTATATCACATTTTAAGATGCTTTTAACACTTATATTAGTAACCAACTTTACCGACGTCTTTTAGCAGCCTATCTGAGTATTAAAAATTTTGTTTATTTTATTTAAAAAAAATTTTCTAATCAATTTTTTTCTTCAAATATTAATAGTCAGTGACAGTGACAATTTAAAAAAAAAATTATTAAATAACAAGGTAGAATCGTGAATAACATCTGAAACCTATTTGGGACACCCCAGGTAGTCGGCCGGATTTTATTGTTCGGAGCCGAGCAGATGCCGTGCGAGAGAGAAAGAAAAACTCAAAGTTATTTCTTTGTTTTCTATCGCGCACTAGATTTGAGCATTTTTTAGTATGTAACAGATTTTTGGTGGGATCAGACGTGTTTCATTTTCTTGACAGTGAAAAATATAGCTATGGAACAATTATCGAGAGCTGACTATGATCGGTAAGTAAACGTTACATATATTTAACATTTGTAAATATTTTAATTACAATTTTGTGTAATATAATTATAATGTTTTACGACGTATATCACATAATATTTAATTTATTAGGTTAAGTGCAACCGAAAGGAATGAGGAAATAATTTCGAATACAGATCATACATTTGACATGTGGCACTCCAATTCTTATCCGCAGTATCCCGCGATGATGGGATTGACGAGATTCCATAATATTCTGCGTTTTTTGCGATTCAACGATGGTAATACTCGAAGTGAACGTAAAAAAGAAGACAAGGAAGCTCCAATTCGTGATGTATGGACAATGTTTAATTTAAATTTAGCTCAGATGTACAAACCAACTGCTAACTTGACGATTGATGAACAGCTTTATCCATACCGTGGCCGTACTGGATTTACTCAATATATTCCATCGAAACCAGCTAAGTATGGTATAAAGATCTGGTGGATTTGTGATGCAGAAAACGCATATCCTTTGCAAGGGATTATGTACACTGGTAAAACAGATAATACTCGATAAAAAAAATCAGGGTGGAAGAGTAGTGAAAGAATTGGCGGCTCCGTACCGAGGTAGTGGGAAAAGCACCTGCATGGATAACTTCTTTACTACTGTACCAGTTGCTAAACATTTGTTGTCGTGGAATATTACCATTGTTGGGCGAATAAGACACGGGAGCAGTATTCGACAGCTTTTGGATTTCACGAAAAGGTTACCATGTGTTCCTACGTTCCTAAAAAAAATAAAGCTGTCATTCTGATATCTACAATGCATTCAGATATATCAGTTGGTGATGACGCTAAACGAAAACCAGAAATAATAAATTTTTATAATAAATATAAAGCTGGAGTTGACAATATGGACCAAATGGTGCGGAGATACACCAGTCAACGACGATCTTCGAGATGGCCAATGGCAATGTTCTTCAACATGCTAGATATTTCTTCACTTGCGGCATATATAATTTATTATGAAAATAATAAAATGATTATCAAAAAAAGACAGAACGTCGTCAATTTATGCGTAAACTAAGTGAAGAACTAACATTGCCGATGATTGAACATCGCACGGCGAATCCACAAGTAATGCGCCACTTCTCAACAAAGATTGCCATTGAAATTGTATTAGGCCATATACTGACTGAAACAGTCGTGATAAATCCTGGTCCAGAGACTCCAAAAGATAAAACCGAAAGGAAAAAAGTAACAGGATCTTGTCATGTCTGCAATGCTTTGCCAATAAGAAGACGGCGAAAGACACGTAAGGCCTGTGCCAATTGTCACCAACCTGTGTGTGACGAGCACTCAGTTAATCGAGTTCAATGTCATTAATTATAGAAAAAGTGTAATATTTCTTTATTTTTTTAATAAAATTTAGTTGCATGCATTAATGGAAATTATATACAATTTTTTTCCTATGGTTTCCACTGTGGATGGCTAGAGTTTAAGCTCATTTAAAAACAAAAATAAAATAAAAATCAATTAAATGAACTCACAAATAGCTTTCTTTTAAGTTAAAAAACGACGATTTGAGAGCTTGAAATGATATATTGAATTTTTTTAAGATATTCACACAAATACACCGCGTTACCCGGTTACTAACATAAGGGTTAATAAAATTTTCGCAAACGGGAAGTAACTAAATAAAATACCTAATTTGAAAGTAATTCATTCCCAACTTGCTGAATTCTTTCGCAACATTTTTTTATATAGCAAAATATATCCATATTATTCGATCAAATCGCGAATAAATTGTATTAAAATTTGGTGAATATACCACTTATATTGAAGTCCATAAACTTAGACTTAATTTTATTGCTACATTTTAGTTCGCGTCAGCTAAAATTATATTAAAAACATCTTCAAATGAGATATATGTGAAGTCGACTCAACTGAACAGGCTAAATTCAATATATTGAGTTTATGTGAACAACGTCAACCAGAGGATCGGAATTCATTATATAAGGGATATAAGGTTTAGGCCGAGGTAAAGACCTATTCCATTATAATTCTGAGATTTTTAAGAAAACTTGTCTATTTAATTGCATTAAAATAACATACGGTTTAAATACAGGTGGAAAGTAGAAAATCATTTAAAGGGGTATATTGGGGATAGAGAAAGGGACAGGCTGATTGTATTAATCTTGGCATTGCTCAGGTATACTTGATAACATATTTTGTAGCAATTTTATATATAAATAGTACTCACTTACCGACATACTTGTATTTGGCATGAAACTTGTTAGAATATGGAAAATCATTATAAGTAGGATATGGGCGTTGGGGGTTGTATCGACTAGATTTTATCTATTTTTCCAATACCAAACACATCTAACATGCAACGGGCTAATAAAAATGCTCCCAGGGTACCTCACATACCATCACCAATCATATGGAGTAAAGTCAGCCGGATGTTCGAAAATCCTGATATTAGTTATATGGTGGTTAGGTCAATTTTATCCATTTTGGACACAAAATTACATTGGTATGAGTAAAATACGCGCTCTTATTTTCATTGAGATAACTCACATATTGGGGGATATATGCGGTATAAAGTCGCCCGGAAGTTCAAAAATCTTTATATTAGGTATATGGAGGCTTATGGATGTATTGACCTGATTCAACCCATTTTTGACACTCAGACATACTATAGTTACTTGTTTTTATACTCTCGCAACATGTGGCTACAGAGTATAACAGTTTTGTTCACCTAACGGTTGTTTGTATCACCTAAAACTAATCGAGTTAGTTATAGGGTTATATATATATAAGGATGAAGAGACGAATTCACTGAGAGCAGCGATTTTTGCAGCTCTATCGACAGTGTGAAAATGGGTGAAATCGGGTAACAACCCCACTGACTCCCCATATAACGGTACTGTTAAAATCTACTAGAAGCGCGATAAAGCAAACACTAAACACGCCAGAGACATTAAATATTTTATCTCTGGGATCGTATGAGACGACTTTATAAGAACCGCGTTCAAAATTAGACAGTGGGCGTGGCACTGTCAATCAAGCAACAATGATTGTATTGGGGTAAGACTTTGCGTGAATAATGCATTTAACATGTGTCACCTTGTGACCTCTAAATCGAACAAAAACTGTTCAAGCTCCTCGGTACTGAACATGTTATATATGAAATTCATATAATAAAATAAATAAATGAAACTCTCGATAATAGTAGGTTTTTGTGTCAAAAATGGGTTGAAGCGGATCAACTTCCATATACTACTTATAATGCTTTTCGCTATTCTAACCAGTTTTATGCCGAATATGTCAGACAGTGAGTATTAATATTTTTTTTCCCAAACGAGTGTACCATATGAATTGTAGAGTCGAGAGTATAAAAGGTTCGATTACATCCAAACTTAGCACTTCTTTACTTATTTAATATAAAGTTTACCAACACCTGAAGTAATAATTCGGGCTCTGATTCTTGCAAGTTGTAAGATTATAAAATGTTTGGTTACACCGTTCTTGTCTTCTTGTTAATTTGAGGTTTGACCTGAAGAGATCTGAAGGTATATCTGATATTGTGCGATATCAGCGGTGTGATAAAGTTCAGATCGATATCTCAAAAACTGAGGGGCTATTTCGGGTATATACAGACAGATAGTATGGCTATATCTACTCAGCTCATCTTACTGTTGATTTGTATATATGCTTAATAGGGTCCCCAACATTTCCTTATGGGTGTCGCAACCTTAATATACATATGTTCAGGATATTATTAAAATTAAATCATAACTTAACAACTCCTACTTTGCATATGCCATACAAATTTTCGTTGCTTCGATTTATAAGAAAGTTGAATTCGATCATCCATAATTTGTTTTCTTATTTAAAGATCTGGTATCTGCTTATAAGAAGTGTAAAGGGTTGAGGCCAGAAATCGGGAAGTTTGCAGGTCAACTTTGACTTATAACTCACAAAATTTTTTGTTTACTCTCGCAAGAAATCGGGAAGTTTGCAGGTCAACTTTGACTTATGAATCACAAAATTTTTTGTTTACTCTCGCAATTGCCAAGGATTAAATCCGGAGAAATACCTTGAGTGTGTTGACAAAATCAAATACAGGGTGGCTCACGAATCGTGCCACAAAAACAAACCATAATAACTTTTTTTCTGTGTAAGTAATTGAGTTACTTTTCTTTATTTGGCAGGTTATAATTAAAATTTTTGGAAAAATTAATGATTGGGATACCGAAAAGAGGCGATGCATAGTGCAGCAGTATCATGCTTTGCAGCCAGTCATTTCCGGCCAAAAGGAATTAAGGGAAGTATCGCAGGAAAACCGTACCATCGAGATCCGTATGTTTGTGTTCAAGAAACAATCGCGACTGTTACATCATCAACTCTGGCAAATCCAAGAGTTTCGACTCGCAACTAATCGGCGCAACTTGGAGTTAGCTAGACGGGCATTACAATGGATAATTCATAATGACTTAAGCTTGTTTCCGTACAAAGTTCAAATAACAAACCGGTTAAATTCTCTAGATTTGCCTATTTGCCCGGAATTTCGCCAAAACATGAAGAAGACAATTACTTGATAAATAACCTGTTTATTTCTGATGAAGCCAATTTTGATGTAAACGGAAATGTAAACAAGCAAAATTGCCGTATATATAGTGAATCAAAACTAGAAATAATCCACGAGACGGAACTTCACCCAGAACGAGTCACTGTGTGGTGCGCAGTTTCATAAAGTTGTATTATGGGCCATACTTCTTGGTAGAAAATGGTGTAACAGTAACTGTCAATGGGCATCATTATTTAAAGTTGTTGGAAGAGTTTTTTTACCCAGAACTGCGCCAAAAACGCAGCAATAGCAGTTAGTTCCAGCAAAATGGAGCAACTGCACACATAGCTAGACCGGTTTTTGCATAATTCCAACGAAAATTTTAAAACAAATTAATATCAAGAAACTCCACTTTTCGCTGGCTCTCAAGGCCACCCGACCTGATTGCACCAGACTTTTTTTTTAAACAAAACCCAGAAATCGGACTGAATTGAAGCAGTCCATTAAATCGATAAGGCGAGATCGAGGCAATCTCGACTTCAACCCTTCAAGCTGCAATGAAGGTCATTTACAATCCATAATTTTATAAAATAAAATAAATGTAATGCATTAGTCAAAAAAAAGAGCCATCTTGTATTATACTAAGGGAACTATTGCCCTGATCTATTTTATGTATGAGGATACACTGTTATTCGAAAGATATTCTTTAAAAAATTCATTAAGATTTCTTACATATTGGCCGATATATGCGGTATAAAATTCGAAAATGTTTATTATAAGTATACGGTGGCTGAGGGGAGTACCGCTTACTATATATATTCATTTTTGGCACCAGAAAAGCTGTCGTCACAAAAATATTCACCCGAATTTCAATGCTAGACTTTACGGGTGACCCTTATGTTTAGAGATATAGGAGATCATCTAAAAAAGCGTGGTGTCATGCCCTCGTCTTAAGGAAATCTTAAGGAATCCCCGAACCTTTTTTTACGCCGTTCCTTACTATCTTGGTTTATTCAGTGAATTATCGAACTTTTAGTAGTTTTCAACATAATCGTTTAATGACGTTTTAAGGGCATGGCAGTGGTCCAATTACCCCATCTGCATTACCGGTCTACTTTAAGTACCAAGAAACATACGAGTATGTATCAAGTTTCATCTCAATTTTTACTCAAGTTATCGCTTGCACAGATAGACTTACACAGTTGCTCGTCTTGTCAACCTGATCAAATATACATAAATTACAAGTATATATAACTCTACATATGTCTCGTTTAATTTTAGATGAACAAAACTACTATTATACTCTGTAGCAACATGTTTCGAGAGCATAAATAGATATATGGACTATATGTGATTATACGGCCCATAGCGTTTTGAAAATAAATATAGAGCTTCCTGGATATTCCTGATTGAATCCAAATACGGAATGAAAACTTTAAGTTTTCCCTTAGCCATATTATGACATAAACATGTTACTTTTAAGTATGTAATAGCAAGCACTTAATCCATCCAAAAATATTTAACGGCAAATTTAATTATTTATTTAATTCAAATTCAACCGACAGAAATATATATTTCCATTATTCTCTGGCGTATTACCCTCAACTTCATATTAGCTTATCTTCTGCATATACATCACAAAAATTAAATATGTTTCAATGTAATCCCCCTTACAAACTAAGACTCTTACGCAAGCAAGGAAATTACAAAATATCTTACAATGCAAATAACTTGGCGCCTTTCATTACACAAAACTCATTGCTTTCCAGTTACCTCGTGACAGCATTCTTTTAATATCATGGTGCACCCTTTTTAACAGAATTTTAATTACAAATCCACAACAACTTTAATTAACACCAATAACAATTCACATTTCTG